GATGGGCTGGTGGGCGTCCCATCCCATGCTCGCCGCCAGGATCGTGAGTTGGCAAGCCCATGCGAAGACCTCTACGATCCTCCAGGGCCCCGGTCGCCGCCGGGTCTCCCTCTGAAAGGGCAGTGCACGTTCCTCGTGGTAGTGCTTGAGGGCGTCCTGCTCCTGCCGATCAGCCCGAAGCTTCCTGTTCGCCATTTCCTCGGTCATCAGAACCTCCAGCTCCTTCAGGTTGCTCCGGACGTGCCTGCGAGCACCTTTCGTCATGAAAACCTCGTTGTCCGCGTTCTCCATGAAAACCTCCTCGTCACTCGATGCCGTCTCCGCGGACTCTGGGTCGCTGGTGTGATAGTGGGATGTACTCAGCTCTGAATCGCCTGCGTCCTGGCCGTCGTTGCTGTCAGAATCGTGCGTGTCCTCCTCCTCGACGGTCTCAGCGACGCTGCGCTCGTCCTTCTCCTCGTGGCTCGCAGTTCCGCTGAACATCTCGTCTGCGAGCTCGTCCTGCTCCTCTGACTGTCCGAGGGGGAAGGCACTTGCGACCGGTGCCGGGAAATCCAGCAATGACACGCACGGATGCCCGGACGCAGCCGGGACCAACGGCTTGGTCACACCGTTCGCCGTGAAAGTACCGTTCCTGAAGCTGATAGCTGCGTCCCACTCTGCCATCTCATCAGGACCGATGAGACCTGGCACCTCGGCATCGACCTCGGAGATCACAACCTCGCCCTGCGTGCCATTGATGCCGACTGTGTAGCACCACGCACGCTCTGACAAGAGCGGCACGCCTGGGCCGAACTTGAAGTACTCGCGCTGGTTGATGCTGTGGTACGGCACGCCCATGGCATCCAAAGTCTTCTGCAGCTCGACGTGCCACGGACGTCCACCGACAGCCCGCTTGCAGCCCGTGTCAATCATAGCCAGCCCCGCGGGCAAGACAACAAGCATGACGGACTGCTCATCTACCACCTTGCGGGGGCACTCCTCTCGGGTAGTGACCATGTGGGCCGCGGACCCCCCCTTTGCTGCCCAAGGGTCTGCGCCCTTTGCTGCCCAGGGGTCCGCGCCCTTTTTGACAGCAACGCCCTCCCCAGTCGGAGCGGCAGACGTTAGTCCTGGCACAGCTCCGTCTGGGGTGTTCCTGGGAGGTTCCCCTTCCTCCGTCTTGGGCTTCTCCAGCGTGTAATGGATCACCGACTTCAACGAGCACTTCTTGCACTTCGCGAAGATCACGGTGCCGTTTGACTGCCACTTCAACTCGCCCACAGGATGAACGCACGCAGCCTGCTGCTGCATGAGCTCTGGGTCGAACTTCGCCTTCGGACCTGGGACCAGCCTCTCGCCGTCGAACTGCGAGTCGTACATGGCTCGGTGCATCTGCTGCTTCTCCAGGTCGCTCTGCGTGGCACCGACACTCATGACGTAGCTCCGTCCAGAGGCGGTGACTACACGCGGGACTCCAGATGCAGCTGGAGATGCCGTCGCAGCGGCAGGGGCACCTGAGCTCGCGGCCCCTGGAGGCGCTGGAAGATGGACACGTCGTCGTATTCCCTCCATGTTCTTCCACACGCTTCCGACTCCCTGCTGCTCAGGAGATGTAGGCAGGACACGCTCTGGCAGAGGTGCCTGCTCACGTCGCTTCTGCAGGCCATCGTAGACCTCGCCTGGGTTCAATCGGGCGTGCATCTCCATCTCCTGTTTCTCTATCAGCGCGAGGCGATCCAGCAACTCAGCTTTGTCACGCTGCAAGACCTCTAGTCGCTTCTTTTCCTCGCTCTTTCTCACTTCCTCGGGGGCTCCTGCCATGACCCAGTCCTCGTCCTTAGGAGCAGCGGCGGCCTCCCCAGTCGGAGCGGCAGACGTTAGTCCAGGCACAGCTCCGTCTGGGGATCCTTTAGTCTTCGATGCTCCCTTCGCCGACGCCGCCGCTGCGGTATCCACCACGTATACAGGATGGGCCCTCGCAGGGCCACTGGCTAGAGAAAAGTCCGGCTTCTCGCAGCGGCGCGTGTAGAGATTGAGGCGCACGATACGGTCGTTCTTAGTGATGAAGTGGAAGGTTGCCGGCGGCGTCAGGTAATCCCTAAAGATGTCCTGGCGCGGATGCCAGCTGCAGAAGATCTCGTCCATCTCCTCCGGCGTGAACGGCACCTCCTTATCCTCGCGCCGCTGATCGTTGTCGTCCTCGCTGGCCTCATCCTCCTCGCTGGCCTCATCCTCCTTCTTCACTTCGTTGCTGCTTCTTGCCTTCTTCTTCTTCTCTTTCTTTTCTTCCTTCTCTTCCTTCTCACCGCGGTCTTCTGGTGGACTCCGCTTCTCTTCCTTCACGCCGCGACCTTCTGGTGTACTCCGCGACCTTGAACGCGAGGAGGCCTCCGCCTCGGGCGGAGGAGGGGCACGAGGTTCACGGAGAACAGCTCCCCGATCACGCTGGCGGTCGTCACGACGATCTCGATGATGATCTTCACGCTGCTTGGCGTCGCGACTCCCGCCTTCACCGCGCCGATCGCCACGGGGCTTGGTATCGCGATTGCCGCCCATCACGATCTTGAACATAGTTGCCGTGATCTCGTCGAGATCCACCTCAGCCGCCGTGCAAGGCCTCGACGTGGTCAGCTGCAGACATATAAGCCGACCCTGGACAAAGTCGAGGCTCTCGAAGCGGCCTTGCTTGAAGAAGATAGGCTTCTTGTTCGTCACGCGCTCCACGATGTGATGGGCCGTGGCAAGGTCAGGAAGCTCCAACTCCACGCTGTGCCCCTTTGGGTGGGTGTTGGCCAGAATACGATGGCAGCGCACGCATGCATCCTCGTCCTCCTGATCCTCGCCGCGCCTGGCACGGGCGCGCGCGCGTTCATCGCTGCTCTGTGCGGGCCCTGGGCCATCGTCGGCGTCCCGGCGTAGGCTCGGCGCAGGCATGCTCTTGGGCCTGGGATGCATGATGATCCGCCCTGGAGCATCAGCTCGACCCTCCACCGGATGCCTCTGGGCAGGCGCCGACTGGGGAGCACGGCGCCATGGAGCGCGGCCGCGACGCTCCTCGGCACTGCCTGCCATGCCAACCCAGTGGATGATCGGTCCACGCACCTGCCTAGGCGCCGGCGGCTTCACAGAGCTCCGCTGGTTGGGCGACGCTGGCTGGCCACTCTTTGGCCCGATCTTGTTGTACGGCTCGCGCTCGCCACTCTTCACCTTGGGGCACTCCGGGTCGCCACGCCAGTGGCCGGGCTGATCGCAGTCAGCACACCGGCTGTTAGCCTTGCGCTGGTCCGTCGGCTTCCGACCAGCCTGGAAGGAGCCGCTGGCGTTGATCTTCTTGGGGTCCCGCTGCCGAGGGGCAACGAAAACGCGCTTCTGACGCTGTGCCGCCGTCTTCTGCTTGGCCCTCCAGCCGGCCAAGAACGCTTCCTGAAGATCCTCCGGTGCCTCGTGCTCCTCGTCATCTGGCCCGTCGTTGTTCGACGCCAGCTCCTCTTCGACCTCGGCGCCTTCCTCGAAGATGATCCCCTCGCCAGCTCCGGGGTCTCCATCGTCCTGTTCATCTGCTTCATCTTCGTCGTGCTGCGCCTCCTCCAGGTCGCCGTGGTGTTCATCGTAGTCTTCGCCGTTCTCTACCTCGTGCACGTGCTGGCCAGAGCGTCCTCGCAACACGTATGGCCTGCGAGCCATGGGAGGGTGCGGATAGCGACCGCCCGGGCTCCCAGAGGAGCGCCCGTGCTCACGCTGCGCCACAAACGGCGAGCGGCGAGGGAGCACCGAGCGCTTCTCAGTCTCGTGCACCTTCGAGTAGGCTGCCTTCAGCACGACCTCCATCCGCTTCGAGTCGTAGATACCGCCACAGTTGAAGAGCACCTGCGCTCGCTCCTTCTGCGACAGTCCAGCGCCACGAAGCATCTTGCTTGCCAGCGCGCGATCGCTGATCGCTGAAGTAGGATCCTCGAGCTGCAACTCCATGCGCTTCTTGCGCAAGTACGTGGTCCAATCCATGATGGGCTGCCCAGCTCGACGGTGTGCTCGCTCCCACTCCTGATGCACCTGATCGAGGCGCTCGTGATCCATCTTCTCGAAGGCGTCGTCGTAGATAGCAAAGATGGTCTCGAGCGTGTCCTCGCGTCGGAGGTCCGACGAATCAAGGACCTCGATGAGCTCCTTGGCTCGACCTGTTACTTGACTGTAGATGATCAGGCCCAGCTCCACGTCTGCGAGCTGGTTGAGGTTGCGGATGACTTCAACCTCCTTGCGCCACTCTCAGTACTTCTTAGTACTCGTACCGACTGCACCATCGAACTCTGGGAGCTTCACCTGCGACAGCAGTAGACGTGTACGTCTGGGACCGCCGTCGCCACTACGATCCCGATGCAAGGCCAAGAGCTCCCGCTGGGTCTCGGCCATCACGCGCAGGACCGCATGCAGGTCCGGGGGACCTGTGCCGGCAGAGGACGCAGCCTCCGCGTCTGAGCCGTCTTGGCTAGCTGCCATGGCGGCCCACGCAGGTGGTCACGACCGCCAAAGCAGAGCACGCAGTGCGTCCGCTGGAGCTTACAAGCTCCGCTACCAATGTCAGTGCAGTTCTTTTAGCTCGGACTGCGCGGCAGTCAAAACTGCGGGTGCGTCCCAGGGCCCTAGGACTAGGGCCAAAACAGCGGCGGGCAGCGTGCATGCCACAAAACAAGACAAGCGTGTATATCATGCACACACGGTGACACGGGCGGCAGAGGGGCAGGGGAGTGCACTCTTCACACGTAGCTGCTAATGCTGCTACCACTTGAGCGGGAGAATGGGGGGCGGCAGCAGCAGCAACGCAACATAGAGGGGAGCCCGACGGCGTCGACGACGACGACGACGAGGACGAGGACGAGGACGAGGACGAGGACGAGGACGCGGACGCGGACGAGGACGAGGACGAGGACGACGCGACGACGACGACGACGGCGGCGACGACGACGACGACGTCGACGACGACGCGGACGCGGACGAAGACGCGGGCCACGACTGGGGGCCGCCGTGCACCCACGCGGGCGTCGGGCCGCGCACCAGCGCCACGGCGGCCACGGCGGCCGCCGCCGCCACGGCGAGCGCCGGTCGGCGGGGGCGGCGGGCTGCGCGCCCCTGGCCTCGGGCGGGGCGATGGCCTCTGCACTCTCGTCTTTCTCCTCCTCCTCCTCCTCCTGATTCGCCTCCCTCTCCGACTCCTCCTCGACCTCCTCCTCGACCTCCTCCTCCTCCTCCTCCTTGCTCCTGTTCTTGCCCTTCCCTTTCCTTTCCCCTCCGTTCCCCTCTGCCGCAATCGTCCGACATTGTCCTGCTCAGCCTCCACCTTCTCCTCCCATGCCTCCTCCTCCTGCTCCTCCACATCTTTTCTTTCTCCTCCCTCCTCGTTCCATCCTGCTTCTCCTCCTGGTGCCCATCTCTTCTTGCTGCTGCTGCCCCATACCTCCTGTCACTGCTCCTTCTCATGATTTCCTCCTTGGCCTGCTCCCCTCTTCTTCCTCCGCCCCCTCCTCCTGCTGCACGTCGTCATGCTTCCTTCACCAACTCCTCCTTGTCACACTTTCCTCCATCTGATCCCCCTTCTGATCCTCAGCCTTATACTCCTCGTCGCCATGATCACCCGACTTATCCGTCTGAGTTTACCACACTGGTCCAGCTCATGATACATTATCGTCCTTCCCCTCATCCTCCCAACTCCTTCTGATTATGTTCCCGCACTGGCTCCTGCTCAAACTCCCACGCATGTCCCTTCTCTCTCACCCCTCGTCATCGTCACCATCGTCAGGTAGTTACCGTCGTCGTCGTCCTCCTCCTCCTCCTCCTCTTCACTTCTTGGGGAAATTCATCTCCTCATCCTGCTCCCATCGCGTTGTCCTGCTCGTCACGCCACGCCTCCTTGCACATCGCGCCCCTTGTGCACATTCCGATGTTGCTTCTGTCCCTCCTGTCTCCTCCCACTCCCCCCGCCCTCCTTCATGAACTACCCTCCTTCTGCTTACCATTCTCTTCGTCATCCTCTTTCTTTCCCTCCCTCTCATCATTCCCAACTCCCCTCTTCCCTCCCTTCCGCCTCTTCCGTCGTACTCCTCATCCTGTCCCTAGTGCTGCTGCTCCGCCTCCTTCTTTCGTTTGCCTTCCCGCTCCCTCTCGTCCTCCGCCTCGCCCTCGCCCTCCCTCTTCAACTCGTGCCCATCGGCGGGGGCATCATCGTGAGCGCGAGCAGGGGAAGCAGAGGATACCGGGAGCGTGTAGGAGAGGAGGGTCGGCAGCACAGCGGGCGGAAGCACGAGGACCGGTGGCTGCCAGGAGACGAGGACGCGGACGGGGATAGACAAACGCGTTCCACTACTCGCAACGTAACTACTCGCAAGTGGCCTGGGTCTGCACTGGGGGACTTGCGACACCTTACATCGAAACGCACGCGTGTTTTCCAGACGTTTGCGGGTAGACACATTGCGCGTAGAGGAACGCGCTCGGTGAGGGAGGTGGAGGCACCGCAGGAGAAAGGAATACGGCGACGATGAGAACAGGTACGATTCGGCGGCGAGCGACGGGGGGGAAGGAGGAGGCCTTCCCAGACGGCAGCGAAACCTCTCAGCAGCCCTCACGCCTTCTAAGAAATTTACCGTGTCTTCGGGGAGTGCCCAGAAAACTTCTCCGAAGGCCGGGTGACGTCCGAGCCTTCTGAGAATGCCTTCTCCTTCTCACTTCCACCCTGGGCTCGCCGCCGAACGATGGCAGCGAGGACGAGGAGGACGGAATGTGGACGAGTACGAGGAGTCATGGCACGAATGGGGGTGCAGGATGACCGCGCGGGGGGGGGCGGCGGCGAACACAACGAATCGAATGCGGACAGGGATGGGGAAACGGAGGAGGAGAAGGAGGAGGCGGAGGAGGAGGAGGAGGAAGAGGAGGACGAGGAGGAGGAGGAATAACGGGAATATCGAGATTCAACCACACATCCTCAGTGGCAGCTAGCAAATCAATCGGAGGTGGCGGAGGGCGGGGCGATGGACGGCGGTCCTGCAGGCCCCAGCATCCGACGCTGCTGGATGGCAGGCAAGGCTGCTCTCTCGGCCGCAGAACCCGCTCCTCCTCCTCCGCCCCTGCCCTCTTCCTCCTCCTTGGGGGGCCCCTCGCCTCCACTCCCGAGCGCGGCATCTCGAGCCGTGCCCCTGGGCGTGGCCGCGAGCTCTGCAGCGAGGGCGGCCTGGGGCGCAACAGCAACCGACGAGGGCGGTCCGCGATGCGACGGGGAACGCCCTCGCTCGAGGCGTCTCAAATCTCCAAGGCCCTTCCGCGAGGCAGGATGACGCGGTGCCGCCGAGCGGCGAGGATCAACGGCGGCCGTCAGACCGCATGTCGAACAGAACTCGAAGCCGTACTTGGCCCATTCGCGCAATGTGTGGCTGCGATGCAGCAGCCGGCCTCCAACCCTGCCGTCGCCCACCGAGGCCGAGAAACTGACGCCCGTGAACCGCGCAACCGAGGGGGCCGCTCCACGCGAGGCGCCCGCAGGCGGAGGCAGGGCACCACGCGGCAACTCGGCGGCGGGCCCAGCAAGGCCAGAGGTCGAGGCGTGGCCAGCCATGGCGTCGGCAGGGGCCAGCACGGCACCGCACGGAGTCCGCGCAAAGGCAAGGAGGTCACGCGAATTAGCCAGCTGCCTGCAAGACGCACGCAGGAGCTTGCCCTGGCCCAGCTCTGTGAACTGATGGGCGGAGGCGGCCATGGCACGGGCAACCTGGGAACGCGGTCGGACCCTGTCAGTGCGAGGACGAGCGGCATTCCAGAGAGAGGCAGACAAGGCTTCAGGCATCGAGCGCCTCGTCCTCCTGCGGACCATCAACGCAACGCAGTCGCACCTGTCCGTTTCAGGAGGGGGCCTTTGCGCAGATTCCCCCCGCCCACGCCTCGCCGCCCACCCCGCCCAAACATCAGCAGCGGCATTCCCTTGCGACAGGCAGGCTTGCAACGGGGTGGCGATATTACCTGGCTCATCTTCCAGATGGGATGGGGCCCAGAGCACCTCGACCGAGCCGGGCCCGCGGCGAGAAGCAGCAAGGCGGATGCGGACCTGATATATCTGCCGTCTCGCCAGCCGTCATCGACAGGCCTGCAATCGCACGCATAAGCGATCGGGCCATGGCGCGCTCTAAAGCCGAGGCCGATGCGAGAATCTCCGCACGGGGAACGGTCTGCAGCGGGCCAGGCAGGGGGGCGGCGAGGCCACGCCTTGGGAGCCAAGCTTCGGTCTGGGGGTCGCCCCATTGCGCGAGCTGCCCCGCGCGCTCCGGACACGCCGCGGCGGATCCACATCGGCGCCCGCGGCTGTCAGAGGCGGGCTCGCCCCCAGACCCGTCCACGAAAACAGAAAGCGGACGGCCGCCTAGAGGTCTATCAGGCTCTTGGAGCCCAAGGGGATGGGGTCAGAGAAGCCAGGGTCTTCGACAAAACGCGGCGCCGTCGACGAAACGGCCGCGGCCCCTCGAAGCCACAGAGCGGGGTCGGAATCAACGCCCGCATGGGCTGCAGGAATTAAGGAATCTGTGGACGTATAATCATCGTGGCCGCAATTCTTCGCGCGCTCCCAGACGCGGTAGCGCGAGGTTTCCCTGCAGGGGCAGAGCTCGCTCGCGTCGTGGCCTGCCTCGATCTTGCGGCCCTGGGGCCGCTGATCGCCCGAGGCCACCGCCGGGGTTGCACCCCGCATGTCCATGGGGCCCTTCTTCGCGAAGGCGTTCAATTCAGACTGCACCAGCGGCAAATCAGCACCGCGCCCCAGGGGCCCACCATGATGGCAGCGCTCCCATGACCTGATGGCCATAGGTGGCTGCGGGGTAAGATTCCGTGCGCCAGGGCCCCTGGGCCACCTCGTCGCTGCCGTGAAGCCGTCGAAGCTCACGAATCTGGCCAGTGTGCAGCTTAGCCTTCTTGAGGCTGAGCCTGAAGCGCCTTCGCGCGTGACGCTTGCCCCCGGCGGCGCCAACGCCGAGGCCAACTGCAGCGCCGGAGGTCTTGACTGGGATGTCCAGGTTCCTGAGTTTCGTAATCAACTGGCGTCAGAGCTCAGCCGTGCTTGTAACCAGGCAAGCCTTGTCAGAGACTGCAAGTCTGGCCTCCGCCTGAGGACGCCAGCGAGGCAGCAGCGCTGCGCATGTCACCAACCACCCTGAGCTGAACACCCTCGGTCCTGCAGACGGTGTCGCCAATGAACGTCCAAAGTCCCGTGCGCGGGGAAGCCTTGTGGGCCCCCCGCAAGATCCCACGAAGAAAACCCCTGGCCCCGTCAACGCCTTTGGGGGAACCTGGACTTGCCAGCCAGAAAGGCCGCGCTGACCATGCGCCCTTTCTTCAGCATGCGCGGGGCAGCATGCGTCGCCACCTCCAGCAGAGTGGTGATGGCAGGGTAACCCGCAGAGCGACTCGACTTTACCAGGAGTATGCAGCAGAACGTTTGCAAATCCAGGAAGAGAGTAGCGTGATCCATACCGAGTTCATTCGTACTTTCACCCATTAGCGCGCGATTCGAAGATGCCCTTAGTTTTGAGCGCCTCCGCCAAGAGCTCCTCTGCCTGCACAAGCTTCCAGGAGGCCTGGTTGAGCGCATTCTACTTCTGGGCGCACCGCGCTGCAGCCTCTCTCTGGAGCACGTAGGGGCATTTGGGGCGTGGCTTGGGGACAACCGCCGTGGCCTGGGCCTGCACCTTGTCGACCAGCTCGATAGCCGTGGTGTCCTGCGCGAGGCCCGCGGCGAGCAGGTACTGGTGCAGGAGGTCAACCGGCGACGGACGGCCACTGGCGCTGCCCAGGTCGGGCCATTCACTTTCATCCTTCTTGCGGCCGATCTTCCGCCAAATGTCGTCGGGAAAGAAGCACTGCGAAACGCACGCGCCGCACTTGCCGCCCTGACGCTTGAGGCGCCAGTTCCACGCCCAGTTGCCGCACTTCGTGCACCAGGTGTGGTTGCGCACATGGTTCTGCTGTTTCTTGCCACCCATGAGGTCCACACCTGCTCCACAAAACTCACAGACCCGACCTCGCAGGAGGAAGGGTTCCAGCCTGGGGCGGACCAGGCGAAAGCAGACTAGACTGGAGGGTGATGGACAAACTGTCGGGCACAGGGCCCTGGCACTGCCGCGGGCTAGCGGTATCCACTTTTGTTCAGCGCGCACAAAAAACCTTGAGCCACAATGGCTACGGGGGAGGAGGAGGAGGAGGAGGAGGAGGAGGAGGAGGAGGAGGAGGAGGAGGAGAGGGAGGAGGAGGAGGAGGAGGAGGAGGAGGAGGAGGGGGAGAAGGAGGAGGAGGAGGTGGAGGAGGAGGAAGGGGGGTTAAAGCTGGGGAGGGTAGAAACCATGAGTGACATTGGGATGAAGGAGTGATGAAAGGGGGGCGATGTGGCGTGTAGGAAAATAGGCTACTGATGAGGCTATGGGAGCAAGAGAACTGCCGCCGATGGCAAAACAAGCAACTGGAAGGATGACAACGAATACCGCAAAGACGAGACCGACGACGACGACGACGACGGCGGTCAAGATGACGACGACCACCAGCACAAAGACGACGATCAGTAGCACCGCGATGATCCATGACGACGAGGTCAACCAGTACGGCAAGTACGACGACGAGGCCAGGAAGCACGAGGACGATGAGCAGGATAAGGAACGATACGGTAAGGAGGGCCCCTTTCTGCTCCCCCTCCTGCTCCTCTCCTCGTCCTCCTCGAAGCTGTTGTGCTGACTCTCCTCGGGCCTCCAGGGGGCCCTTCGTCGCCGCGGCCTCTCATTCCCTGCGCTGCCGGCCCTGGGATCGCGGACCTGTTGGTCTCCCGCACGACCTCGCGTATGGCCTCCCGCCGGCCCTGGACTCGCGCACGGTCTCCCACAGAGCCTTCCGCGTGGTCTCCCGCGCCGCGTGGTCTCCCGCTTGGTTTCCCGTCGGGTCTCCCGCACGGTCTCGTCGTCTCTTGCGTGGTCTCACGTATGGCCTCACGTCAGGTCTCTCGCACGGCGTCTCCCGAATGGCCTCCGCGGTCTCCCGAGTGGCCTTCCCCGTGATCTCCCGTATAGTCTCCCGCATTGTCTCCCAGATCCTCTCCCGCAGGGTCACACACAATATGGTCTCGCACATGGTCATCGGTGCGGTCGCCCATGTTCACATGGCCTCCCATCTGGTCTCCCGCGTGGCCTCCCGCATGCTCCCGCTGTTCAGCTCTGCACCGCCTCCTTTACTCTATGCAGCTCTCTCCATGGATGCCCTGGTATTTCGAATACCTGCATGGGGTCTTCCGCCACCACTGTTGTACTATTTGATTGCGCGGGTCCTCGGGGATGGTGGGATCTCAGGCGGGGCGTCCAACGGCTCGGCTCTGCGGTTCTCCACTGGGGAACCCTGGGCTCCTGAAACATCGGATCGGCGGCGTGGGCCTACGACCGTCCCCCCTGGAGGGCGCCAGGAGCCCCGATAGGTCGACAGAGGCCCACAGAGCCCGAACACATAAGCAAACCTCGAGGGGCAACCTCGTGGGCAAAAACCACCTCTGTATCCGCGGCGTCGCGGGCCGGACCTCCGGGCCGCGACCCCGCGGATGCGGAGCGTTTTTGTCGCGGGTGCCCCGCGCGGAACGTACCCGTGCGACCGCGTATCCGCGGGATCGCGCCCTGGAGTGCATACCGCGAGGGCGCGGATAAGGATACTTGACGGCGAGCCCAGGGGGGGGAAGCGAGACGTGGCTGTGGGATATATCAGAAGCCTTCGCGCCTTCTGGAAGTGTTCTAGGCCTTCTTCGAAGACGCAGAAGCCTTCTCCGAAGCCCTCGCGCATTCTGAGAAGCCCCGCCGCCTTCTGAGAAAGGCCTGCCCCATCTCACTTCTAGGAGAGCCCAAGATCGAATCGAAATGTCGGACCGGCGATCGATACAAATCGGATCGGCGGAGATCGGCAGCCGAGTCGGGAGAAATCGAATCGGCAGAAGTCGGCAGGCCAGCAAGCCTGCAAACCTGCAGCGATACATCGGAAGCCACATCGGAATCCGAAACCGAATCGGATCGGAATTGGAAGCCACCGAAATCGAACCAAACGGAATCGGAGAAATCGGAAAACGAGCCCAGCACTCCCCCCAAGCACGCCGCCGAGACCTGCTCGCCGCTCGTGACGAGCAGCAGTCCTCCAACGACGGCGGCACAAGTTCAAGCACATTCAAACATCTTTGGGCGATTTCGGTATTCCTGAGCCGAAAAACGTTTTCATCTCTTGGGGGCGCATCTTTTACTTCCGCCACCTTCCGCCAGCCTTCCGCCAGCTTCCGCCGGCGGAACCGCCCTCGTTTTCCTTCCCCCGACCTTCCGCCGAGGAAGAGATGACAACTCCTTCGATCCTCGAAGGCAAGGCCCTGTTCGGAACGCCCCGCTTGAGTACACTCGAGCAAATTCAAATAATTACGGGAACTTAGCAAAATTCTAATGTTTCAACCATGGGCGAGGCCGACGATCGCCGCGGGGCGGCCTCGGGCCAGGAGCGGCAGGGGCTCCACCATGGGCGGAGGGGTCTCTCGCCGAGCGGCGCGCGCCCGCGCCCCCGGAGGAGGAGCAGGGGGGCAGCTCGCGGAGTACGAGGCTTCTGAGGCAGCGGGCCGAGGGGAAGGGGGAGGAGGAGGAGGGGGGCGAGGAAGAGGAGGAGAAGGAGGGGGAGGAGGAGGAGGAGGAGGAGGAGGAGGAGGAGGAGGAGGAGGAGGAGGAGGAGGAGGAGGGGGAGGAAGAGGCGGAGGAGGGCCCCGTCGGAAGACAACCGTTTAAAGATCCGGAAGCGTTCTCGGGATCTCAGCGCCGCGTATCAATCTGACTGCTGCGTCTTGACGATCCGGAATCAGGCCAGAACGCCATTTTGGGAACGTCAGCACCGCGAATCAACATAACTGTCGCACCCGCATAATCCTGAACCGTTCCATAACACCATTTCTGGTACGCTGACCATGGGAATCCATGAAATTCTTGCACAATTTGAAAACGGATGTGCGCGGTGCTCAAGCGAGAACCACATTTTGAAAAAGGATCCGCCCCCAATCCGTGAAGTTCTCGCAACTTTTGAAAACGAATGTGCGCGGCGCTGAGGCGAGAAGCACGTTTGGAAACCACCCGCCCTCAATCCGTGAAACTCTTGCAAATGGTTAAAACTAATGCGCGCGGCGCTAAGGCGAGAACCACATTTTGAAAACCACCCGCCCTCAATCCGTGAAACTCTTGTAAGTGTTGAAAACGAATTTGCGCGGCGCTAAGGCAAAAAAAAAACACACACATTTTGAAAACCACCCGCCCTCAATCCGTGAAGCTCTTGCACAATTTGAAGATGAATGCGCGCGGCGCTAAGGCGAGAGCAATATTTTGAAAACCACCCGCACTCAATTCGTGAAACTCTTGCATTTTTAACCAGCGAATGTGCGCGGCGCTAAAGCGAAGGCCGCATTTTGAAAAGAGAGAGCGTGATCCACCGCCGCTTTGCTGTGGAAAATTCCCCCCCCCCCCCCTCCCCCTCTTCCTCCGGAGCCCGGGGTTCCCCCCCCCCCGAAAATCCCCCCCCTCCCTGCTGGACCCCCCCCCTGCCCCCGGCAAACGCCCCCCCCTTCCTTAACCCCCCCCGCCCCTCCGGAAAACCGGGGGGGGTCACCACCGGTTCGAGCCCCCCCCCGTCGGAAAACCGGGAGGGGTCACTACCGGCTCGATTCCCCCCCCCCACAAGAAAACTAGAGGAAGGTCACCACCAGTTCAAACCCCCCCACCCCCCTCCAGAAAACCAGGGGGGTCACTACCGGTTCGAGCCCCCCCCCTTGTCGACCCCCCCCCCCTCCCCCTCGAAAGCCGGGAGGGGTCACTCCCGGTTCGACCCCCCCCCCCTCCTCCTCGAAAGCCGCGTGGGGTACCGGTTCGAGCCCCTCCCCCCCCCGCCCCCACCGCCAGCAAACGACTCCTGGTGCCTACCACCGTCCGCACCACATCGCCCACTGCTGTTCCCAGCACCGCTGACCTCACCACCACTGTTCCCACTGATTCCACCATCGTCCCTACTGTCCCCACCAGTGCCCCCACCAGTGTCGCACTGTCCCCATTGTCCCCACCACTGTTCCCACCACTGTTCCACTCTCCCCACTTTCTCCATGGCCCCAACCACTGCCCGATTATCGATGCCACTTCAGATAGTGACGTCACGGTGGGCTGCGGGTTCACGGCAATGGCAGTAGGCTACCGTGGGATGCCATACGTGATCTATCCCCACTGCCCCCGCTGTCCCACTGTCTCCTCCGCTGTCCCACTGAGCTGTCCCGCTGTTCCCACCACTGTCCCCACTGTCCCCACCACTGTCCCCACTGTACCTCTGTCCCATTGTCCCACCGCCGTCCCGGCCACCGCCCTCACCACTGTCCCCACCCTTGTACCCTCCACTGTCCCACTGTTCCCACCACATTCCCACTGTCCCCACACCACTGTCCCCACCACCACAGTCCCCACCACTGTCCCACTGTCCCCACTGTTCCCACCATTGTCCCCGCTGTCCCCACCAGTGACCCCACCAGTGTGTCAATGTCCCCACTCTCCCCACCATTGTCCCACCACGGTCCCGCACTCCCCACTTCCCCCGCGGTCCCCACCACTGTCCCACTGCCCCCACTGTACCCACTACTGTCCCACTGTCCCCGCCGCTGTCCCACTGTGTTGTCCCAGCGTCCCCACTGTCCCCACCACTGTCCCATTGTCCCGGGTGGGGGATTCGAACCGGTAGTGACCCCACCCGGTTTTCGAGGGGGGGGGTTCGAACCGGTAGTGACCCCCCCTTTTCATGATGGACGGGGGGGCGGGGGGAAGGGGTTCGAACCGGTAATGACCCCCCCGGTTTTCTGGAGGGGGGGGGCTCGAACCGGTAGTGACCCCCCCCGGTTTTGCGCCAGCAGCGGTAGAACACGCTCTTTCTTTGAACGCGACCCGCCCCCCATCTGTGAAACTGCTGTCACTTTTTAACTTCAGAGTCATAAATGGTGAGGAAGTCTCAAGCGAAACACCCGGCCCGCCGTAAAAACTTGCCTCGGGGTGCGACAAGGAGGAGTTTCTATAAGGAGAAGGAATGCATGGAGGAGGACGAGGACGAGGACGAGGAGGAGATGCTCGAAGTGTTCGCCGCAAGTCTGCGCAACGGAAACAAGGAGGAAGAAGGGGAGGAGGAGGAGGAGGAGGAAAAGGAAGAGGAGGACGAGGAGGAAATGCGCGCTCCAGGCGTTCGCCTCAAGTCTGCGCAAAGAAAAGGAGGAAGAGGAGGAGGAGGAGGAGGAGGAGGAGGAGGAGAAGGAGGAAGAGGAGGGTGAGGAGGACGAGGAGGAGGATGAGGAGGATAACGAGGATGAGGAGGAGATGCGCGCTCCGAATGTTTGCCTCAACTCTGCGCAACGGAAGAAGAGGAGGAAGAGAAGGAGGAGGGTTAGGTTAGGTTAGGCACGCCACTAGACCCGCCACCCCGTGCTGGCACCGAGGCCCCAACGCGACGTGGCGAGCCCGTGGATTATCCATCAGTCTCTTCCACCGCCGCCCGCTGGCCCATTGGCCTGCGGGGGCCCACTCCCAGGTGCCAGGGTCGCGGGCACCCTGGGGTTCACGCTCGGCGAACGGGCGGCGGCGGCGGCGACAGGCGCACAGGGCTGCGCCTGTGTCTCGCCGCTGGCGGGCGACGGGCAGAGCGCCTCGTCGTCTTCATCGTGCAGCTCCAGCTCGATGTAGTCGGCGGGCTGTACCAATGCCAACCTACTCGAGCTCGAAGCAAAACCACGGCGGCCTAACCCCTCGCCGCGCTGGGGAATTGTGTGGCCTAGCCCCTCGCCGCGCTGGGGCAGGAAGCGGTCTAACCCCTCACCGCGCTGGGGTCGGTGGCCTAACCCCTCGCCGCGCTGGGGAGTGCTGCGGTGGATCGCCTTGCCTTGCACTCTCGCCGCGCTGGGGTCGGGTGCGGTCTAACCCCTCACCGCGCTGGGGGACCTCGTCGTCATACTCGGCGTACAGCTCCAGCTCGATGTAGTCGCCAGTCGGTGCCCGTGGCAACCTGCTCGAGCTCGCTGCCGATCCACTGCTGCGGCCTAACCCCTCGCCGCGCTGGGGAGGAAAGTGGCCTGACCCCTCGCCACGCTGGGGATCGGTGCGGCCTAACCCCTCGCCGCGCTGGGGTCTGTGGCCCAACCCCTCGCCACGCTGGGGTCTGCTGCTGCGGTCCAACCCCTCACCGCGCGGGGGAAAACCGAGCCTCGCACTCTCGCCATGCTGAGGCCGATCGCGGTCTAACCCCTCGCCGCGCTGGGGATCTCTGCACCACGTGGAGCGGTCGCGTGGCTGCCCCTGGCTCGGGGGGGTCGCACTGGGGTGCTCAGTGAGCTGCTCCCCCACGGTTCCCACACCATCGCGCCGCCCCTCAAACCTCTGCTCGTCGTCATTCTCATCATGCAGCTCCAGCTCGATGTAGTCGGCCGTCGGTGCCAGTGCCAACCTGCCCAAGCTCGAAGCCGATCCACCGCTGCGGCCTAACCCCTCGCCGCGCTGGGGGGGATAGGTGGCCTAACCCCTCGCCGCGCTGGGGAAAGGTGCGGTCTAACCCCTCACCGCGCTGGGGACGGTGGCCTAACCCCTCGCCGCTCTGGGGGCTGCCGCTGCGGTCTAACCCCTCCCCGCGCAGGGGGTCGCCGAGCCTCGCACTCTCTCCCTGCTGAGGTCGACTGCGGTCTAACCCCTCACCGCGCTGGGGGCCCTTTCTCCTCGCGGAGCGGTGGCGTGGCTGCCCCTGGCTCGGGGGGTCGCACTGGGGTGCTCAGTGAGCTGCTCCCCCACGGCCCCCACACCTCCGCACCGCCCCTGAAGCCTCTGCTCGCTTTCGGCACTGGGGTCTAACCCCTCACCGCGCTGGGGACTGCCGTGGCCTAACCCCTCGCCACGCAGGGGCTCCATGCGGTCTAACCCCTCGCCGCGCTGGGGGAAGTCGCCGAACAAATCGTCGAGGTCCCGCTGCAGGTCTGGGTCGTCGTAGTCTGCCATCGTCTCGGGCTGCGCTGTGAGCTGACCCCCACATGCGCACTCTGCTGGATGTACTGCTGGTGGTGTGTATCTCGCTGCTGGCCGTCGCTTCACTGTCCTTTTGGGTCGAGGCTCTGGATGTGGTTCTGGTGGGGGGTCTTCAGCACCAAGGGGGGTTGCTCCTCATGCGGGGCCAGGCGCTCCTGATCCCGCAACTCCCTCACTGTGCGTGCCAACTCCGCCTCTTGTGCCGCCTTCGGTGGTCCTTTATAGCCAGGGTATCGCCCATCGCGTATCCTGTTGAGCGCGTCCTGCCCGTACTTGGTGATCGTCTCGTCACACGGCTCCCTCAACCTCTTTCCGATGGTCGTGCCATGCGCCGCACACCGTGCACAGAACAGCAGACCATACCGCGCCCATTCGCTGATCACATGGCTCTGGTGTATCTTGCCATTGCCCATGCACCTGTCGCCCTGACCTCCACGATCTCGTTTGCCGTGCTGAACGTGGCATTGCACTCCGTCGTCGCGAACTCTTGCAGGGCGTCCGCTGCGATATACTGCCTGCGCGCTGTACAAAACTTCTTATTCTTGAGCTTGACCATGTCGTGCTGCTTGGCACTGCTAATGATCTCCTGCTGCTTG